CACACAAACACACTGACACACACACACGCTGACACACACACACGCTGACACACACACACGCTGACACACAAACACGCTGACACACACACACGCTGACACACATACACTGACACACACACACGCTGACACACACACACGCTGACACACTAACACACTGACACACACACACGCTGACACACACACGCTGACACACACACACGCTGACACACACACACACTGACAGACACACACACACTGACACACAAACACGCTGACACACAAACACGCTGACACACACGCTGACACACAAACACACTGACACACACACATGCTGACACACATACACTGACACACACACACGCTGACACACACACGCTGAGACACACACACGCTGACACACACACACACTGACACACACACACGCTGACACACACACGCTGACACACACACACGCTGACACACACACACTGACACACACACACGCTGACACACACGCTGAGACACACGGATACACACACACATATATATGCAGAGACACACACACGCTGACACACACGGATACACACACACATACAGAGAGACACACACACGGATACACAAACACACATACAGAGAGACACACAAACTGATACACAAACACTCACACACTGAGACAAACACACACTGATACACACTCACACACATACAGACACACACACACACTGACACAGACACACAGATACCCACACACACACATGCAGACACACAGTAACACACAGACACACACACACACACACTCACTTCTATAGGAATGTGTTTACACCTGTGCGTTTCAATAATAATGGATATAAATGGAGGGCGACAGGGCCTCAGTTGGTAGAGCATTGGCCTAAGAGCCTGAAGGTCATGGGTTCGAGCTCCCGAGCTATTTCACGACTCCTACTGATGACTGCTGTCGTTGTGTCCTTGGGCAAGACACTTAACCTCACTTTGCCTGAAGCCCCCACTGAAAGACCTCAGCTCCTGTGGACTCAGCTCCTGCAGGAGGATCAGTGAGGGGCTGGTGCTCTGACTGCCACCCCCCACCCAGACATGGATTAAGGGGAAGAAGATGGATGGATATAAATGTAAATTGTGGACGTGACATCCCAAACATCAGCACTTTGGTGGATTACATTTCCTGGCTGTAGTTTTGTGCTAAAGTGGCCTGTTTGGGCCGTTATTCCTCGTGGCGTGCGGCGTGCGGCGTCAATACTGAGTAATCAGAATGTGTCATGTCCCCATTTGCCTGCGGTCCAGCCCAAATAAATGAAATGTTAAGTCTGGTCCTGGTGGATGGTTCTGTGGTCTGTCACGGAGGCTCCTGGGGGCCTCTGTGTGCTCTCGGGCTCTGGGCTGTTGCAATGAAATGGCAGAATCCTTTAATGGAGCAGAGTGACCAAGGACCACGTGTTGGGACGCACTGAGGCGCAGCAGAAGCTCTTCAGGTGGACTCAGACTGAAAACACATTTTTAACTCTGATGACTCTATCGATTGGCACTTGGCTTTTAAATATGGACCTCCAGCGAAAGTGTGGAATAACAACGACTGCCTCCGCTGCCGGGGACGTGTCCAACGGAAACTGAAACGTCAATGTCAAATATAGTCAAAGGTGAAACACAGATTAACTTTCCTCTTTCTCCTGGAGCCACAGCGGAGTCTGTTAATGGTTCGCTTCCCTTCATGATGTAACGGGCGACAGTGGCTCAGCTGGAACAGCACTGGTCAACAAACAATTATGAGGAAATCACTTTTATTCTTTCTCTCTTTGGCAAAGTGACTTTCTCGTCCACACTCAAAGGAAATATCTGTTCTTTAAAAGCAGTGAGTTATAAAATGCTCCTGGTTAGTCTCAGATCTCTCACTTCACGAGGACTTCCTGTTGCCAAATTACAATAAAGCGTTCTATATTACCATTTTAATTATTATGTTCTGGGTCCAGAGTGTGTTTGGGAAGACATTCAGCAGAACTACTGGAAGTACATGACTTCTAATAATAATAAACATTATAAACATTGCACCACTCAGAAAGTCAGACTTAGACCAACTCCTGAATGTGGAAGTGTAAAAGGCAGGTTCATGGTTGTACTTTGTATTTAGCTCATTTAAAGGAGTCGATACAAAGTTCTGAAAACAGCCTGTGCCTGGAAGTTACACATTGATTTTTGTTCTTTGCTTTTTGAAATAATCTCTGTTCAAATCTCACGCTCATCTGTTTGTCAGACTTTATAAACACAGCCTGGAGGACCGGATTCTGGTGCTGCTCAGTCAGAGACGATGGGCCCAACACTAACAATATATTCTTTTATATAATCATTTCTTCTTACAACTTTGAGATTGACCTCTGACCCCGGACTCTGTGAGTGTTGACCTCTGACCCTAACCTGCAAGAGATGGAACTGCAGGTCGTGAAAATGACTCTGCGTTGTGTTGTGTGTAAACCAGGAGACAGGGTAGTTTAACAAGTTCTTTATCTGTGCAACACACTAAACATGTGGTCATCCTTGGACCTGGGACACTGCAGAGGGTGTATACATTATAACACGTTAACATTCCTATATGTACTGAACAATCTAATTTAACTAAACATTGACGTTTTCAAGTTTAAAGCATCCCACACAGTCATACAACTGAAAAATAAACATACAAATGGAACTTTAGCAGACACACCAAATTTGTGACCTTACCTCGGCTTGAGGCGCCAAGACTTAAAGGATTTGTCACCCCAAGAGGGCGCTGTTCCACCAAAATACAGTGTCTATAACAAGTGGAATACAATACTTTTAACTGTTACGTGTGTGTGTTGTGTGTTGTGTGTGTGTGTGTGTGTGTGTGTGTGTGTGTGAACCACTGGTGGCAGTTCAAGTTTGGGTTTAAATGGAAAGGTTGATGACGTTTTCCTCGCGTTTTGGCTTCAGTAGGAGCGAGAAAAACCATTGCCTCCTCTGATTGGCTCTTTGGTTGCTAGGCTGTTGCCATCCACAAATATGGCCCATGGAGCTTCTGGTCGTTCTAATGGACTTCTTCCAAACACCATCAGTGACGTCAGCTCTCAGTTAGGACTCGGTTTCCACAGCAGGGGTCTCGAACCCCTGCTGTGGAAAGGGGCCTGATGTCTGCGGGTTCTCATTCCAACCAAGCAGGAGCTCACCAGAGTCTTCCTCAGTTCAGTCCAGTATAAACCTGGAGACTGAAGGAAATGGGAGGAGTCTGGGGTGCTCCTGCTCGGGTTTTAATGAAGCCCTATGACCTCCATATTCGACAGTCTATAAGTAAAGTTTATTTATTTCAAATATTGGTTTCAAAATGACCACAGTAAAAATACCACACATACAAGTCCAAAAACAAATATACAGGACACACTTCACGTAGGCTGAGGCTTTGGTTCAATTTATATAATACCAAAGAAACAAACATGTACTTCGGAGATAGAATCCAAGTGGATAGTACCGGATTATTCTTGGTTTTGGGTTAGATTCCCAAAGGGTCCAGTCCACTTTCCGTGTTTCCTTCATCATCTGTTCCTCATGTTTTGTTCTGTATTTTTCAGCCAAAGTCAAAACACTACATTTCACAGGCTTTGTGTGTGAGGCTCCCCCGCGGGACGTGTGTGTGTGTGAGGCTCCCCCGCGGGACGTGTGTGTGTGTGAGGCTCCCCCGCGGGACGTGTGTGTGTCTGTGTGTGTGTGTGAGGCTCCCCCGCGGGGACGTGTGTGTGTGTGAGGCTCCCCCGCGGGACGTGTGTGTGTGTGAGGCTCCCCCGCGGGACGTGTGTGTGTCTGTGTGTGTGTGTGAGGCTCCCCCGCGGGACGTGTGTGTGTGTGAGGCTCCCCCGCGGGACGTGTGTGTGTCTGTGTGTGTGTGTGAGGCTCCCCCGCGGGACGTGTGTGTGTCTGTGTGTGTGTGTGAGGCTCCCCCGCGGGACGTGTGTGTGTCTGTGTGTGTGTGTGAGGCTCCCCCGCGGGACGTGTGTGTGTGTGAGGCTCCCCCGCGGGACGTGTGTGTGTGTGAGGCTCCCCCGCGGGACGTGTGTGTGTGTGAGGCTCCCCCGCGGGACGTGTGTGTGTCTGTGTGTGTGTGTGTGAGGCTCCCCCGCGGGACGTGTGTGTGTGTGAGGCTCCCCCGCGGGACGTGTGTGTGTGTGAGGCTCCCCCGCGGGACGTGTGTGTGTCTGTGTGTGTGTGTGAGGCTCCCCCGCGGGACGTGTGTGTGTGTGAGGCTCCCCCGCGGGACGTGTGTGTGTCTGTGTGTGTGTGTGAGGCTCCCCCGCGGGACGTGTGTGTGTCTGTGTGTGTGTGTGAGGCTCCCCCGCGGGACGTGTGTGTGTCTGTGTGTGTGTGTGAGGCTCCCCCGCGGGACGTGTGTGTGTGTGAGGCTCCCCCGCGGGACGTGTGTGTGTGTGAGGCTCCCCCGCGGGACGTGTGTGTGTGTGAGGCTCCCCCGCGGGACGTGTGTGTGTCTGTGTGTGTGTGTGAGGCTCCCCCGCGGAACGTGTGTGTGTCTGTGTGTGTGTGTGTGTGAGGCTCCCCCGCGGGACGTGTGTGTGTGTGAGGCTCCCCCGCGGGACGTGTGTGTGTGTGAGGCTCCCCCGCGGGACGTGTGTGTGTCTGTGTGTGTGTGTGAGGCTCCCCCGCGGGACGTGTGTGTGTGTGAGGCTCCCCCGCGGGACGTGTGTGTGTCTGTGTGTGTGTGTGAGGCTCCCCCGCGGGACGTGTGTGTGTCTGTGTGTGTGTGTGAGGCTCCCCCGCGGGACGTGTGTGTGTCTGTGTGTGTGTGTGAGGCTCCCCCGCGGGACGTGTGTGTGTCTGTGTGTGTGTGTGAGGCTCCCCCGCGGGACGTGTGTGTGTGTGTGTGAGGCTCCCCCGCGGGACGTGTGTGTGTCTGTGTGTGTGTGTGAGGCTCCCCCGCGGGACGTGTGTGTGTCTGTGTGTGTGTGTGAGGCTCCCCCGCGGGACGTGTGTGTGTCTGTGTGTGTGTGTGAGGCTCCCCCGCGGGACGTGTGTGTGTCTGTGTGTGTGTGTGAGGCTCCCCCGCGGGACGTGTGTGTGTCTGTGTGTGTGTGTGAGGCTCCCCCGCGGGACGTGTGTGTGTCTGTGTGTGTGTGTGAGGCTCCCCCGCGGGACGTGTGTGTGTCTGTGTGTGTGTGTGAGGCTCCCCCGCGGGACGTGTGTGTGTCTGTGTGTGTGTGTGAGGCTCCCCCGCGGGACGTGTGTGTGTCTGTGTGTGTGTGTGAGGCTCCCCCGCGGGACGTGTGTGTGTCTGTGTGTGTGTGTGAGGCTCCCCCGCGGGACGTGTGTGTGTCTGTGTGTGTGTGTGAGGCTCCCCCGCGGGACGTGTGTGTGTCTGTGTGTGTGTGTGAGGCTCCCCCGCGGGACGTGTGTGTGTCTGTGTGTGTGTGTGAGGCTCCCCCGCGGGACGTGTGTGTGTCTGTGTGTGTGTGTGAGGCTCCCCCGCGGGAACACTGTCAGGATGTGTGTGTGTCTGCATGTGTGTGTGTGTGTGTGTGTCTGTGTGTCTGCATGTGTGTGTATGTGTGTGTGTGTTTGTGTGTGTGTTGTCTGTGTGTGTTTGTGTGTGTGTGTGTGTGTGAGGCTCGCATTCGCCAAGAGACGATTGTTCCCCCGCGGGAACACTGTCAGGACGTGTGTGTGTGTGTCTGTGTGTCTGTATGTGTGTGTGTGTGTGTCGTCTGTGTGTGTGTGTATGTGTGTCTGTCTGTGTGTGTGTGTGTGATTGTGTCTGTGTGTTGTTGACATCATTGGGCTGTTGTCGTTTCTTCTCGGCTGAGTGTGTGTGTGCTGTATGTCTGTGTGTGTGTGTGTGTGTGCATGTGTGTGTGTGTGTGTGTGGCTGTGTTTGTGTGTCGTCTGTGTGTGTGTGGCTGTGTGTGTTTTTATGTGTTGCTGTATGTGTGTGTCGTCTGTGTGTGTGTGTGTCTGTGTGTTTGTGTCTGTGTGTCTGTGTGTGTGTGTGGCTGTGTTTGTGTGTCGTCTGTGTGTGTGTGTGTGTGTTTGTGTGTCGTCTGTGTGTGCGTGTGTGTGTTTGTGTGTCGTCTGTGTGTGCGTGTGTGTGTTTGTGTGTCGTCTGTGTGTGCGTGTGTGTGTTTGTGTGTCGTCTGTGTGTGCGTGTGTGTGTTTGTGTGTCGTCTGTGTGTGTGTGTACAGGTTACAGGTCAGTTTAACTAAGGCTCATATTCAATCAGAAGCAGTTTATAAAATCAAAGGTCATAAACAGATTATCAAATGTTCAGTGTTTTATGGAAACACACCTCATTAACATAAAAACAACTATTTCAAAGATGTGTTTGTCCATCCATCTTCTTCCCCTTAATCCATGTCTGGGTGTGGGGTGGCAGTCAGAGCACCAGCCCCTCCCTGATCCTCCTGCAGGTGCTGAGTCCACAGGTGCTGAGTCCACAGGTGCTGAGTCCACAGGAGCTGAGTCCACAGGTGCTGAGTCCACAGGTGCTGAGTCCACAGGTGCTGAGTCCACAGGTGCTGAGTCCACAGGTGCTGAGTCCACAGGTGCTGAGTCCACAGGTGCTGAGTCCACAGGTGCTGAGTCCACAGGTGCTGAGTCCACAGGAGCTGAGTCCTTCAGCGGGGGCTTCAGGCAAAGTGGGGTTAAGTGTCTTGTTTGTTCACCTGCTATTTCTGTGATTTAAATTTCCAACAACATTTCTCTGAAGCCAACGACAAAAAAGCAGAAATATCTTAATTATTGGTTTGTTCTCGTTAATTAGTATTTTGCATTAAGCTGTAATTTAATGAATCCCTGGTCATTTTTAACAATGATTAATGAAGTTGCAGATGAACCAATAACACACACATGTGTTTCCTCAGTCTGGCTCCTCTCGTCTTGGAAGGATCTGATCTGATGCTCCTTCAGCGTCACACATTCAGACCCTAACCCTAACCATTCAGACTTTAACATTTAAAGAGCACGGCCAGACTTTTTCCACCGTTGTTTTTGCCTCGTGTTTGCATTCAGCACATTCCGACCCCGACAACGACTGCGAGTCCAAACCGAACTATACGTCTGTGAAAGTAAAAGAGAAAAGTGTGAATTCTACCGGCGTCCTGTCTGCAAACATAGGCTCATAAATAGTTCAGAGGCTGGAGTCAGACTCATTACCTGCTTTTGTGGAGAAGCCTAAACACAGCCCGAAGCAGTGTGTGTGTCTGTGTGTGTGTCTGTGTGTGTGTGTGTCTGAGTGCAGTGTGTGTGTGTGTGTTTGTGCAGTGTGTGTGTGTGTGTCTGTGTGTGTGTGTGTCTGAGTGCAGTGTGTGTGTGTGTGTTTGTGCAGTGTGTGTGTGTGTGTCTGTGTGTGTGTGTGTGTGTCTGAGTGCAGTGTGTGTGTGTGTGTCTGTGTGTGTGTCTGTGTGTGTGTGTCTGAGTGCAGTGTGTGTGTGTTTGTGCAGTGTGTGTGTGTGTGTGTGTGTGTGTGTTTGTGCAGTGTGTGTGTGTGTGTTTGTGCAGTGTGTGTGTGTGTGTGTGTGTGCAGTGTGTGTGTGTGTGTGTGTGTGAGCAGTAAAGTCCAATGTCCGAGCTTTGTCTCTGGCTTTTTCCCGCTTGTTTCATTCCGTCTCCGTTGCTTTCATTCTTACGCCTCATTCATTAAATATCAGGACAACATTATTCTCTCCTGGAAAAGAAAAAAAAAGTTTAGCAACAGCTGAAATTAAATGTTTCTTGTGTAAATTATAAATTATTTACACGGCATTCCTGCACGTCGCTTTCTAACCTGGGAAATGTATTCAAAGCATTATTTGTGTGGTTTAAAGCTCAGATGTGTGGTTTAAAGCTCAGATGTGTGGTTTAAAGCTCAGATGTGTGGTTTAAAGCTCAGATGTGTGGTTTAAAGCTCAGATGTGTGGTTTAAAGCTCAGATGTGTGGTTTAAAGCTCAGATGTGTGGTTTAAAGCTCAGATGTGTGGTTTAAAGCTCAGATGTGTGGTTTAAAGCTCAGATGTGTGGTTTAAAGCTCAGATGTGTGGTTTAAAGCTCAGATGTGTGGTTTAAAGCTCAGATGTGTGGTTTAAAGCTCAGATGTGTGGTTTAAAGCTCAGATGTGTGGTTTAAAGCACAGATGTGTGGTTTAAAGCACAGATGTGTGGTTTAAAGCTCAGGTGTGTGGTTTAAAGCTCAGATATGTGTGGTTTAAAGCACAGATGTGTGGTTTAAAGCTCAGATGTGTGGTTTAAAGCTCAGATGTGTGGTTTAAAGCTCAGATATGTGTGGTTTAAAGCACAGATGTGTGGTTTAAAGCTCAGATGTGTGGTTTAAAGCACAGATGTGTGGTTTAAAGCTCAGATGTGTGGTTTAAAGCTCAGATGTGTGGTTTAAAGCACAGATGTGTGGTTTAAAGCACAGATGTGTGGTTTAAAGCACAGATGTGTGGTTTAAAGCTCAGATGTGTGGTTTAAAGCTCAGATGTGTGGTTTAAAGCACAGATGTGTGGTTTAAAGCTCAGATGTGTGGTTTAAACTGAGGATCCAGGACACATTCAACATCTGTGGGTTTTATATCGTTGCATTTCTTGCCTTTGAACTGTTTGATTCTCTAATCTGTGCTGGAGAATTCAACTCAGTCCTCAGAGATGTGTTGTTTAAGGCTAGACAGAAAAACGTTGAATTGAATTTCCAAGAAGAGCAGTTGTAGATCCAGATGTACGTGGAAGATTCAAAGTTAGTGAAGTGCATCTGGTGCGACGTAATAATCTGCAGAAATCATTAAAGTTTGGGAACTTTAATAAAATCCATCGCACTAGTTCTTTTGAAACAGTTTGGTTCTGACTAGTTCTCACACACGTTCTGATACTTGACCTGAGTCACATCTTCTCATTAAAACACTCCACTTTAATTACAACAGTCATTGATGAAGACACGTTTTTATCTTCTTCATCAGGACCATGTGACCGGACCATTTTACTCTTACATGTATGTTAAGTATTACATTCTGTTTGTTTTATTTGTTTATCTTATTTTGTTAAGTGCTTTGAGATGATTTAGGGCGATACAAGAATAAGTTGTATTGAATCGACTTTGAGCAGCTGGTGTTATATTTGTGCTATATAATATAAGTTGACATTGACATTTCCAGGATATTTAGGTTCTGTGGTTGTCCCGCTCCCTTCAGAACAATGTCTCCTAAGTGTTTGTTTTTATAGTCATATTTTAGGGCTATACACAAATTTCATTGAATTTCTAACCAACTTAAATAACCCCAGCTTTAACATCCTTTTATAAAAGTATCTTTGTCCAGTCAGAGATCAGCTCTTGACTCTTTACTCCAACCTCACGTCTCTCGCTCTTCGCCTCGTTTCTCAAGTGTATCTGGACCATCTGCTTGTCTCATGGATCGAACATGAAATGTGGAAAACTGAAGTGAATTGCCGACGTCCGTGCTGCACATTTAGCGAGTATTTACGGCCGCAGTCTTAATGACTCCAACAACAAAGTGGAATCCTCGGAGCACAGACCTCGGACTCGCTCCTCTGGCGTCTCGCTGCTTTGAGGCTGTCAAAAGAAGTGTATATAAGTGTAATATTATGATGCAGCGCACAGAGGGTGATATAGGCCTGAGAGGACGCAGCAGCTTCACATTCCAGGCACGCTCTGTGTTTCCAGATCCACCTGTCTCTCCGCGGCTAACGCACTTAGCATGCGGCACACACACATTATTCTGCTTCAGTCCAGCCTGAGGAGCATGTGTTTTCACAAACTCAAAGGATTGCAACGGCTTTATTTGACATTTATGTTGTTGCAATGTTTTTTTTGGTCAATTTTGAAAGGTTGATTTGAAGGGTTTGATGTAGTGAGCGCGGCGCCGTGTAACGAGCTGAAAAATGGCCGCACGAGCTCATTGGCCGAACGCTCCTCTCCTTCATCTGATTAAAGCTCTCCACTTTAATTACAACAATCATTGATTCAGGTCATTGACGAAGACACGTTATTACCTTCTTCATCAGGATCCATTGTGACCGGGTCAGGCACCTGGCATCACTAATTTCAGATTAGTTTTCTCTTGTCGCTCCGTGTGTCCGTTTAACACTGAGTCCAAATGGCTTTTGCTCTCACACTGTGCTTCCTTTGACCGCAATCACAGCAATCTGTCTGTCTCTAAATGTCACTTCATGATAATCAATTACTACATCCATCTGTTCATTGTACTTTTAACAGATGAAGTTGTCAAATGTTTAGACGGAAATAATGGGAAATACATAAAAATGCATCGGTTTCATCTTTTGGACGCTCAAAGTCTCTTCACATTATTATTATTTACCTCCAAACACAGTGGTCGTAAACTGCTGCTGTAGCCACAGCTGCCCTGGGGCACACTGAGTGGTAAAAACAGGCTTTTGTTGTAGATGTGAGGACATAGGTTTGAGGCCCTATTTAAGCCAAACTAAAGTCACTCTGCTCTTAGCCTCAGATGTTTTCGGATCAGAACCTTCCACATTAAGTTTGTTAAATTGATTGTAAAATAGTCCTTTGTGTCCTGACATTTCGTTCCCTGAGTGCGGCGGTCTTTTTGTTTGCGTTTATTTTCCACGTTCCAATCCCCGCCCCGACAATAATACATCCATTTAAACGTTCTTATAAAAACGAGAATAAATCGTGAATAGATTATAACACTTCACTTGATGTCAATGATTGCATTTCTCTCCATCCGCACATCCGCACATTTGGCCCCTGTGCATTTAGCATAATTCCCGGGAATGCTGCTTGTGTGCGATACGGGAGCGAGTGCATATGAAATGCAAATAGAAGTGCTCCTGTGCGGTTTGGAAGAGATTGCATCATGAGATCAGTCACATTATATTTACTTACCACATCAGCGTGAAGTTCCAGCTGATTTAGCAATGAAGCGCCTCCACCAACTGCAAAACACCGCCTAGTTTCTGCTGGGAGTGTAAATCCATCTGATAGATATGGAAATGACCTGCTGTCCAATCCACACGTGTTACTGTTTGGATCAAATCTCACTGTTGCCCTTCATTACATTTATTACATTCATTACATTTATTACATGTAGAGGCGTTGTTGTGCAGCTCTCTCCGTGTACAGAGCTGTAGCTGCGCTGGATCAGCTACGATTGGAAAGAAAGTCATTTGTGTTTGGGTTAATAGACAGATGTTAGAGCAACACAAGACGGACACACAACTTTTTTAACTCATCACAACATGATTTATTGAGGTGTTTGAAAGAACTGTGTTGAACAAAGCAAAAGGAAACCAAAACGGTACAATCTGAGGATCCAAACGTTTAGTCGTGTTGCTTAGTTTTCTTCCATGTTGAGACTCGTTTACCAAATATTCTGCAATAATCATGCGTTCTGTAACTACTTCAACTTATCAAGGTTTAGTTGTATAATAAGGCCATAAACTCTGCTCTGACATCAACACAACTCTAAAACAACTCTAAAACAACACTGTCCTCACATTTACAATTATCATTCAAATTATTCTAATGGATTCAGCTTCATGAATGTGGGGGAAGTGTCTTGCCTAAGGACACAACCACTGTTTAGCATTTTACAGCCGCAGCCGCCCAACTGTGGCACCTGCTGTTCTCAGAGGTCTCCCATCACAGTACTGACCAGGCCCTGCCCTGCTTAGCTTCAGACGGATTTGGGTCTGATGGGATCTAGACAGGAATAACTTACATCACTATGCTCAAGTCCTCCCCCCTCTGGCCCTTCAACGCTTTCATTCTTGCAGCAACCCTCCTCCTCCCCATCTCCGCCTCGTCAGCTCTTTCCCTTCTCTAGCTCCCCCCACCTGGGTCTAGGCCGGAGTCTAGGCCGGAGTCTAGGCCGGGGTCTAGGCCTGGGTCTAGGTCGGGGTCTAGGCCGGAGTCTAGGCCGGGGTCTAGGCCTAGACCCAGGCCTAGTGTCAGTTTTATTCTTATAAAGCCCGGGTTCTTTGTTCTAGTCCCTCCAGATTGAAATGCAGCCATGACCAAAGATAATAGTAATAATGTTTCTAGTGCATATTACACGCAGTCTCTTTAACACGGCCTCTGCTCTGTGTTCTTCTCCACATATAAGATAAATATAAATACAGACTCATTCACATGCAACACACACGATGAGGCTTCCACAGATTCTGAAAATCCTCCGATGTTTCTAATGGAACAAAACAGAGTTAATCAGTCGTCTCCTTTGAAAGAGTCTGGATCGAGAATGCATAAAACAATGTTATTTCAGTGGAAGCTGCTTCAGACGCATGAATGTTTCAGCAGTGCTTTAAAAATGAGTAATTCCTTGGTTCATGCTTTACAAGAGAGACATTTTCAAAAAGAATCAATTAGACGCCTTTGATAAAAATGTTTGCGATATAAATGTGAGTCTTTAATGTGTCTTCAAAAGGTTGTTCAAGTTTAATGAGCCTCCTCCAAACAAATTAACAATGACGTTCTCTTTGCTCCGTGGGAAAAGGCCGCGGCTAAAACTGGGTCAGCAGAAAATAAAACCAAATCCAAAATATGAAGTTGGTTTTGGGACAGTTACAGCTGCTTCTCACTCACTGCAGCTTTGGGTGAAAGACTGAGGGAGAAAACTATATTTATCCTCCTCAGTATTTATCGTCCTTAATACCTCGCGGGGCTGAGAGCTGATTGGCTGAGTGAGACGGGTCCTCTCTTTCACTCTTAGTCTGAAAAAGCTGATACAAACATGTGTAACAAGTGTAAGGAATAGTGTTCACTGTATGTATCCCCATCAGCAGAGGTCGGGCTGAGAGACACAACTCTCCCTCATCTTAAACATGTGTTTCTGTGGGAGCTACATGTGTGATTTAAAAACACATTTAGTGAGATATTAGTAATGTCATTTATGTTTTCTTTCATTGATTAACATGTTTATACGGAGGAAATCCAGTGCATAAATGTTACTTACTATGAAAGTGAACTAGGATTAGTCTGAGAACCACAATCATCTAGAACCACATCTGGCTCCGGAGCCACAGGTTCCTGACCCTGTTATAGGGCACAGTGTCCTCTGCATTTGACCCACCCTTTATCGCCACTAGGGGGAGTTGCAGAGTGAGATACCCCAACTTACATTTGTACAAACTTTCAAGACAGAACCACTAATCCCAAACACACACACACACACACACACACACACTAGACGCACACACATATACTACATGCACACACACACACACACACACTAGACGCACACACATATACTACATGCACACACACACACAGCAGTAGGGCGTTCCCCGCTGCTCTGCATCAAGAATCCTCGACGTTCGATCAAAGACATAAAGAAATCTGCTTCAAGAGAAACGTGAAACAGAGAAAGTGACGTGACCGTGGCGCCGTGTGTGTGTCGCCCTCTTTGTGCATCATCGTTACCCACGGTTACGTACTTTTGTATCGAGAGACCTGGACTTTTCATCTCTCCCACAGAAGTCGCAGCCCCCACGACAAGCCCTGTCTCTGGTTGTTAGTGACGGGGTCTGACGTGGGGGAGAGGAGCCGCAGCGTGACTGACGAGAGAAGCTGCGATCGCGGACGCTGTAGTAGACGCAAACAACCGCCGCCCGACCGAGCTCAACTGCCGGTGATTGCAGAGTCCGCTGTCGAGAGAATTGTCCTGATGCTAGTGTGAGGTGAAAAGCGGCTTCGGTGATTGGTGCAGACTCAAATGTAAAGCGTTTGTGTTTGAGCAGATTGTAGGTTATTTTCTTATGGGGTTGTTTCACGGCTGAAGGTAGAAGCGTTGGATGTAGTTTTAGTCCTGACATGTAGCAGACACTAAGGTTAATGGGAGAGAACTCAAAAACAATCTATGTATTTTTGCAGTGATCAAAATCATCTTGAATAGTTGGTTGTTGCCAACAGCAGATTAGAAAACCCAACATTACAGCTCATAGAACATGACATGAATAGTATTTAAGGATATTATATTTTTACAGGAAGAATAATTTTCTGATAATTGCTTACCAAGATTTCCTTGGTATTTGAAGCTGGCGTACGGAACTTCTTTTCTTTGGTGTTTCTCCAAATATATTGTGAACAAATCAGACCATAACCTGCACCTTCGTAGAAAACAGTTTATATTTTTATTACTTGCAAGAAAGAGCCATTTGCGTCTCTGTTAAACTACAAACCCCTTCTGATTGGTTGGTTGTACTTCCTGGTTCTTATCTAACCATGTTTCTGTGATACCAGACTCAGAGCTGGAGTGAAATTAAACTCCAGCCCTTCTTCAAACCGTACAAATCTCACAATTTTTTTTCCTTCTCACTATTATTAAACACAAACAGACATGTGCAAAAACAAACCCAGCCCCAGATCCTCAAACTCCACCCACTCGAAACTGATCCCAGAAAATCAAATGTCAAAACCCAGAGTCGAGCACAATCAGGGCCTGGTCCTGTCTCCGCCCCCAAGTCCTGTCTCCGCCTCCCAAGTCCTGTCTCCGCCCCCAAGTCCTGTCTCCGCCCCCCAAGTCCTCTCTCCGCCCCAAGTCCTGTCTCCGCCCCCAAGTCCTGTCTCCGCCCCCAAGTCCTGTCTCCGCCCCCCAAGTCCTCTCTCCGCCCCCAAGTCCTGTCTCCGCCCCAAGTCCTCTCTCCGCCCCAAGTCCTGTCTCCGCCCCCCAAGTCCTCTCTCCGCCCCCCAAGTCCTCTCTCCGCCCCCCAAGTCCTCTCTCCGCCCCCAATAAGACGGCGTTAAAGGCAATGAAAGAAGTGGCTGGGAACATAATGGAGTGGAGCCGGGGAAAAGGGCAGCTGTCATTTTCAGTAAATGAAGTTGAAGATAAAATATGGCAAACACGGATTAGTGTGAAATGACTTTTGGGGAAGTAGCAGAGCACACAGCTGTTAAAGGTGAGAATTTAGACTTTACTCTCTTTAAGGACAGTCTGCGGCTTCATTAAAAGGACTTAGATTTATTAGATTTAGCAGCAGCTACTTTCCATCTGTGGCCCTGACAATACAACCATTAAAGGAGGAATATCTAACTAATATAGAACAATGGCAAAACACAAACATTTTTTTGTTTTTGTTTGTACTTTATAATTACTATCCCCTTATTTTCTCTGTCATTCTCTCATTTTGCAAACTTTTCTTGATTCTGTGTCTGTTTGGTCCCAGACATACTCCAGTGTTTTTGTGCTTTGGATTCGACACCAGAGTCCAGTCCCTTCTCCGCTCTGGGACTGACTGGGACTGACTGGGACTGACAGGGACTGACGGGGACTGACGGGGACTGACTGGGACTGACTGGGACTGACTGAAATGATTGATGGCTCACTCTGCTCTTTTGGACGGACAAAGTTTCCTGTTTTCTTCATAGAGAAGATAAATATGGCCCGAGACTTGTTTGAAGTTGTGTAAATGTTTCCCAGCGTTTGTGAAGTGAATGTAAATGTGTTTTTAGAGAATGTCGATTGGTTTGTTGTGTACAGAGGTCTCTCCTTTAGTCAAGATGGAACAATAACCACAACAAACAAAATCACACAAATATAATCTGGAACTAGAAAAACAATAGAATTTAATGCAGAGATTATGTAGAAGTTTAGATGTTGATTTCTGAGTTTAGGTAAGTAAGTAAGTGAGTGAGATTGATTTTAAACCATTGCGTGGATTCAAACACAGAACCTCCGGTCTCTGTGAGGACCTCCGGTCTCTGTGAGGACCTCCGGTCTCTGTGAGGACCTCCGGTCTCTGTGTGGACCTCCGGTCTCTGTTAAGACCATCAGTCTCTGTGAGGACCTTCAGTCTCTGTGAGGACCTCCAGTCTCTGTGAGGACCAGCATCATAGGTTCAGCAGTAATGTGAGGCCTGAGGGTCTTTTGGATCCTGTTCGACTCCAAATGAGGGAGTTTCTTTTGGAAGGATCTGTTGCTCCAAAGTGCCAAAGCACAGTCTGTTTTGGCAGCACACGGTGGAACACTGTCCTCTCTCAGCTCCATGTGGTAATTAAAAAACGGCCTGATTGACATGTGTGTCCCACTGAACCGCCAAGAATGTGGAATATGTAAAGCAAGACAGCTGAGATCTGGAAACCTGGATTCAAAACTAATTAGGAGCAAATACAATGTGCAAAAGGTTTGTTTGAGCAGAGTGTGGAGTTTATCTAAACTGGGACTTGGCAAAAACCACTTGGACAAAGTGTCGCACCACAATTATCTATTTTAGGGAAAGTATTTGTCTTTGTTATCCCAGTATCAGCCGTTCCCAGTTTCTATCAGAGAGAGTAGAGCCGTCATCTTTCCCAAAAATACTGTTGGTTTTAGTTTTATCACATTTACACATATCACACAGTGGCTGAGTGGTTAGCACTGCCGTTTCTTAGCAACAACGTCCGGGGTTTGAGTCCTCTCCCTCCAAGTGCTCTGGTTTCCTCAGCCTCTTATGCAGCTATAATCTGGAACAATATTCCTGAAAATGTGAGACAGACTTCTTCTCTGACCATCTTTAAATCCAGGTTAAAACAGTTTAATGTGATTATTCAGGATTGTAATGTCTTCAACTGTTTCTATCTGCTTTCAGATCTTTGAGTTGTCGTGTGATTGAACTGTGCTATCCAAATAAACTTCCTTGACTTGCTCAGACACATGTAAATGATGGACTGTCCCTGAACATAACTCCAGTAAATATCTCTGTCTCACACTGTTTCCAGTCCGTATCTTTGATGATTATGCTTTTTAAACTTGTAAATACATAAAGGCCGTTACACTGAGCGTGTTGTGATGAAATGCACACGCTCGGCCGCGTCCTGTTGTTGTTTACTTTCCACCCTGCTGCTTTCAGACTGTGTGTGTCTACTCCATATGGGCTTCTCTTTCTGCCTCGGACCCATCGCCACGACCACGGCTGGTCCCGACCTCGGCCCCGCTCCCATGTGCTGTGTGTGGGACTACAGCAGCTGTCCTTGTCACTACAAAAGCCCTATTTTCCACACACCACGTTGCTTTTCCCCGGGCGCTCCTCGGCCTCCCGGTCAGCACCCTGGAGAGCTCCCCAACCCAAAATCTGATGTGTTTTTCCCGTCTCTCTTTGAGCCCATTCTGCTTCACAGCCAAATAGGACACACCGATGCTCTATTTTGACTTCTTCTTTTTGCTTTCGCGAGCTTACCCGGCGAGATCCAGACTCACAGCTTTTTCAAATCACACCTTTAATAATAATGTGAGAAAAGGAATTATGCAGTAGAATGGTCATTTCAAAGATTGATTATAGACTATGAAGGCTTTTTGCAACATCATTTAAGGGAGGAGGTGCCAGAAAGAGCAGGACTGGGATAAATAACTAAAATCATGGGTTTTTTCATGTTTGGGTTTTCAGAGTTCAAACGTGTCTGAAAAACTCATGTATTTATTCTTTTTGGTTGTTTGGATCCACATCAGCTTCTAGTGGTTGATTGTTCTTCCAAAGTTATCAGTTATAGACTTCTACTGTTTCTACGTGAGGCTTCTACAGTCTACACACTAAACACTAAACTCTGAGAAGATTAAATCCATATTGTGTGAAAACTTATTTGTATCATATTTATTACAACTTTTGGGTTTTTTTTGTCTTTTCTTTTATGCTTTTATTTTAAATGAGTAAAGTGGCAGAAAGATGGGACTAAATGCTTTACTTTCACCCACTCCTGTGTCATACATTTAGATTGTGTTGGTTTTTCCTTTTTGCTGAATGTTTGAAGTTAACAAATACATGAATAAATACATAGCCCCAGCAGGTGGATTGAATCAGCTCTCAGTGCTGATGGAGCTGCATGTGTCACAGGAGGAAGACTCTGGAATGTCTTCCTCTGCAGAAGGTTTCTTTACAAAGACTAATGCACTGCACATACTTTTTATTATTTTTTATTTAAGGACAATAACATTTAAGAAAAACGACAGAAATTTCAGCAAAACAAAAAAACACAAAGATTTTTTCACTTTCACAAAAATTAGAAATGTTTAATATTCAGATTTCTCTTCAAAAGTAAAGCATCAAGACTCTGTTCCAACATGATGAATAAATAAATATATTTAAATATCCAGATTGTTCACTCTTGTGCGTACTTCATGCGTCATCCTCTAAAAACATATTTCTGCAGAATTGTGTTAAAACCGTCTCATTGTTTTGCAAATTTAATATTCATGTCTGTCAAAAACCCGCCCCCACATCCAAGAATTACCCACAACATTTTACTGATACTTTCACGGCTCGATACAGTTTCAGACATTTCCAGGAGCAAAGAAAGAAGAAGATAAACTTTAGGATGAGATGGTGGATGTGAGGAGCACAGGTGGAAACACAGCGCCCCCTGCTGTGAGGGCAGTGGGAGGTGCAGAGGGAGGTGCAGAGGGAGGTGCAGAGGAGTGCAGAGGGAGGTGCAGAGGCCACAGAGGGAGGTGCAGAGGAGGGCAGAGGGAGATGAAGAGGCCACAGAGGGAGGTGCAGAGGAGGGCAGTGGGAGGTGCAGAGGGAGGTGAAGAGGAGGGCAGAGGGAGGTGCAGAGGGAGGTGAAGAGGCCACAGAGGGAGGTGCAGAGGAGGGCAGAGGGAGGTGAAGAGGCCACAGAGGGAGGTGCAGAGGAGGGCAGAGGGAGGTGCAGAGGCCACAGAGAGAGGTGCAAAGGAGGGCAGAGGGAGGTGTAGAGGCCACAGAGGGAGGTGCAGAGGAGGGCAGAGGGAGGTGCAGAGGCCACAGAGGGAGGTGCAGAGGAGGGCAGAGGGAGGTGAAGAGGAGGGCAGAGGGAGGTGCAGAGGCCACAGAGGGAGGTGCAGAGGAGGGCAGAGGGAGGTGAAGAGGAGGGCAGAGGGAGGTGCAGAGGCCACAGAGGGAGGTGCAGAGGAGGGCAGAGGGAGGTGAAGAGGAGGGCAGAGGGAGGTGCAGAGGCCACAGAGGGAGGTGCAGAGGAGGGCAGAGGGAGGTGCAGAGGAGGGCAGAGGGAGGTGCAGAGGAGGGCAGAGGGAGGTGCAGAGGCCACAGAGGGAGGTGCAGAGGCCACAGAGGGAGGTGCAGAGGGAGGTGCAGAGGCCACAGAGTTCCCAGATAAGGCTTTAGTCTCTGATGTAGCAGCTGCTGTGGACGACTCAGTCCATGTTCAGCGGCTTAGATCCCATCACCCTCTGCTTTCATTAGTCTGGATACAGAAACAGGAACGTGGGATTCCCTGAAAGAGCAGTGAGAGAAGTGCCCGAGAGAGAAGTCTGAGTGTCGCGGTTTAATGAGAGGAGCAGTAGGACGAATGTGTTCTGCTAGAATGATTTATGACTCTGGTTATTTTCATCTGGTCACAGTCACACACTTCACATTTAAATAATGTACAAGTAAAAAGTGGCTCGTACATTATCTGAATATATGTCAGAATCTGAAGGATTTGTAATAACAGTCACAAGGAAGTCACAAATGTAGGAATTGTCTTTGGCTCAAGCTGCGTTCAGGCTGTAAGAGGAAAAGGTAAGACCAAAACATGTTCATAAAATCTGTTAAAATTACTGCTATGTAAGAAAGAACATATGGATAGTAACTCCTGTTCCGACCGGGATTCGAACCCAGGCCAGAGTGCTCATTATCCATCCTCAGGTCTCCCATCCCAGTACTAACCAGGCCCTGCCCTGCACAGCTTCTGAGGTCTGACAGGAGAGCTATCCCCTGGAAGTGTCTGCACCCTGAGAACACTGCAGTAAATGTGAATAGCTTGTTTGTCTACTCACTGTTGGTTCGTTACAACTCTTTCTTAATTACAAACGCTCGCTGCGGTTTATTTTTCACAAAGGTATTTTTAACCTTGTGTTTTTTTCCCGAGCGGATTCTGTCGCCGCAGCTTTGCTCAGCGACGTGTGTTTAATTCCAGCCTCCAGAGTTTTTCAGATCGCTCCCAACTGATGTGTTTTAGTGCGAGCGTAGTGAGAAAAAGAACAACAGGCCTCGTTAGAACCGACGGCGGCCGAATGGATCCTCCGTCTCTCGTTCACGGTTCTCCGGGTTCTGGGGGCAGCATTCAGTGCGACACATGCGCCGCTGACTCACGCCGTGATTCATGCAGGACACGATCGCAGCGTTTGCACTTGAATGGAAGACTGTGTGAACAATGGGAGAGGCCTTGTAGGACACAGCTGCAGTTTAACAGCAGCTGTAGGACACAGCTGCAGTTTAACAGCAGCTGTAGGACACAGCTGCAGTTTAACAGCAGCTGTAGGACACAGCTGCAGTTTAACAGCAGCTGTAGGACACAGCTGCAGTTTAACAGCAGCTGTAGGACACAGCTGCAGTTTAACAGCAGCTGTAGGACACAGCTGCAGTTTAACAGCAGCTGTAGGACACAGCTGCAGTTTAACAGCAGCTGTAGGACACAGCTGCAGTTTAACAGTAGTAAGTAGTAAGTAAGTAATCTTTATTTATATACCGCCTTTTCACTGCACATCGGAGTCTCAAAGCGGTTTACAATTGTGATTTTTGGGAGTGGGGCCAGAACAGGAGGCGCATGCCAGACCTATTGTACATATTTTTAGACAGCAGCTGTAGGACACAGCTGCAGTTTAACAGCAGCTGTAGGACACAGCTGCAGTTTAACAGAACTCCCGGAGCAGTCAATTTGACGGATTTTTTCTGTGAATAAATGCAGTGTATTTCATTTTAGACAAAGGATATTATTCAACCCATTTTGTGACTACGCCTGTTTCTACTCTGCTCTTATCCTTAGCTCTACTCTACCTGATTCTGCCTCCAATTCACTTTAACTGGTACCGTATCCTAGCAACCTACCCCCAACAAAACATTTTCTGCAGGAAATTCCTTGGCAACCATGGCTTCCAGCAGCACTCTGGCCAATCACTGTCTATTAGAAGATGTTAGTGTCAGCTCGTCCTGGAAAGAAGTGAAGCTAAGAGCATAAAGAAGTGCCCAGTGCTGGTTAAACAGAGTCTGTTTGGTTTTGGACGCAGAGTGACTCGGCACATTTTTGCTCTTCATCACTTCCTCATGAATCTATCTGTATGACGTGTATTTCTATGGTATTATGTTTATATTATGTGTTATGTGTTGCTAGGTAACTACCACACCTAGCAACGCAACGTTTACTGTTAGCAGTTAGCATTGGTTAGCCTTTCTACAAACGTGTGGCTGTATTTCACCAGTGTCCAATAAAATCACATGTATTTATAGAAACACAATCCATACATTGTGGATTGTATGTACATTATGAGGATTTTGAGGAATGTGAAGAATGTGACAAAAAACCCAATTTTTATTATTAGTATTTGATTATTGATCGTTGCATCATGGGTTTAAACTTCCTCTTAAATACAAATAAGTTAGCTAGTTTGTTTTATTGTTCTCTCTCTGGTCTCTCTCTCTGGTCTCTCTCTGGTCTCTCTCTGGTCTCTCTTTCTGGTCTCTCTCTCTGGTCTCTCTCTCTCTGGTCTCTCTCTGGTCTCTCTCTGGTCTCTCTTTCTGGTCTCTCTCTGGTCTCTCTTTCTGGTCTCTCTCTGGTCTCTCTCTGGTCTCTCTCTGGTCTCTCTCTCTGGTCTCTCTCTCTGGTCTCTCTCTCTGGTCTCTCTCTCTGGTCTCTCTCTGGTCTCTCTCTCTGGTCTCTCTCTCTGGTCTCTCTCTGGTCTCTCTCTGGTCTCTCTCTGGTCTCTCTCTGGTCTCTCTCTCTGGTCTCTCTCTGGTCTCTCTCTGGTCTCTCTCTGGTCTCTCTCTGGTCTCTCTCTGGTCTCTCTCTGGTCTCTCTCTGGTCTCTCTCTGGTCTCTCTCTGGCTCTCTCTCTCTCTCTCTCTCTTGGTCTCTCTCTCTGGTCTCTCTCTCTCTCTCTCTCTCTCGGTCTCTCTCTGGTCTCTCTCTCTCTGGTCTCTCTCTCTGGCCTGTCTCTCTGCTCTCTCTCTCTGGTCTGTCTCTCTCTCTGGTCTCTCTCTCTGGTCTCTCTCTCTGGTCTCTCTCTGGTCTCTCTCTGGTCTCTCTCTCTGGTCTCTCTCTCTGGTCTCTCTCTGGTCTCTCTCTGGTCTCTCTCTCTGGTCTCTCTCTCTGGTCTCTCTCTGGTCTCTCTCTGGTCTCTCTTTCTGGTCTCTCTCTGGTCTCTCTCTCTGGTCTCTCTCTCTGCTCTCTCTCTGGTCTCTCTCTGGTCTCTCTCTGGTCTCTCTCTGGTCTCTCTTTCTGGTCTCTCTCTGGTCTCTCTCTCTGGTCTCTCTCTGGTCTCTCTCTCTGGTCTCTCTCTCTGGTCTCTCTCTGGTCTCTCTCTGGTCTCTCTGGTCTCTCTCTCTGGTCTCTCTCTGGTCTCTCTCTGGTCTCTCTCTCTGGTCTCTCTCTCTGGTCTCTCTCTCTGGTCTCTCTCTCTGGTCTCTCTCTGGTCTCTCTCTGGTCTCTCTCTCTCTGGTCTCTCTCTCTGGTCTCTCTCTCTGGTCTCTCTCTCTGGTCTCTCTCTCTGGTCTCTCTCCTGGTCTCTCTCTCTGGTCTCTCTCTGGTCTCTCTCTGGTCTCTCTCTGGTCTTTCTCTGGTCTCTCTCTGGCCTCTCTCTGGTCTCTCTCTCTGGTCTCTCTCTGGTCTCTCTCTGGTCTCTCTCTGGTCTCTCTCTCTGGTCTCTCTCTGGTCTCTCTCTGGTCTCTCTCTGGTCTCTCTCTCTCTGGTCTCTCTCTGGTCTCTCTCTGGTCTCTCTCTGGTCTCTCTCTGGTCTCTCTCTCTGGTCTCTCTCTGGTCTCTCTCTGGTCTCTCTCTGGTCTCTCTCTCTCTGGTCTCTCTCTGGTCTCTCTCTCTGGTCTCTCTCTCTGGTCTCTCTCTCTGGTCTCTCTCTCTCTCTCTCTCTCTCTGGTCTCTCTCTGTCTCTCTCTGGTCTCTCTCTGGTCTCTCTCTCTGGTCTCTCTCTGGTCTCTCTCTGGTCTCTCTCTGGTCTCTCTCTCTCTTCTCTCTCTGGTCTCTCTCTCTGGTCTCTCTCTCTGGTCTCTCTCTCTGGTCTCTCTCTCTGGTCTCTCTCTCTGGTCTCTCTCTCTGGTCTCTCTCTCTGGTCTCTCTCTCTCTGGTCTCTCTCTGGTCTCTCTCTCTGGTCTCTCTCTCTGGTCTCTCTCTCTGGTCTCTCTCTCTGGTCTCTCTCTCTGGTCTCTCTCTCTGGTCTCTCTCTCTGGTCTCTCTCTCTGGTCTCTCTCTCTCTGGTCTCTCTCTCCTCTCTCTCTCTGGTCTCTCTCTCTGGTCTCTCTCTCTGGTCTCTCTCTCTCTCTCTCTGGTCTCTCTCTGGTCTCTCTCTGGTCTCTCTCTCTCTCCCTCTCTCTCTTCCCTCTCTCCTCTCTCTCCCTCTCTCCTCTCTCTCCTTGCTCTGCTCTCTCTGTTATCTCCCTGCTCTCACCCTGCTCTCTCCTCCCTCTCTCCTCTCTCTCTCTGCTCTCTCTCCTCTCTCTCTCTCCCTCTTCTCCGCTGCCTTCTCTTCCCGCCGTCCTCCGCCGTCCTCCGCCGTCCTCCGCCGTCCTCCGCCGTCCTCCGCCACACGTCTGCCCTAATACCAGCGATGGACTTTAGATTACATGTAATAGCTGTCTCTGCCGGCAACGAATCAACTGCATTAGTCAGCACGGACCATCGAGGGCTATTTATAGTCTCTGTCCTGTATCATGAGAGAGAGCACGCAGACCTGGTCCAGCCGAGGGGAAGTAAGTGATGCTGAGGGGGGAGGTCAGGCCTCAGCTGAAGGGGGTCCATATGGGGAGGGGGCTCTGTGCAGCTGTGTGGTATCAGTGCTAATGTGTGCGTTTAAGTTCGCTGCTGTTATGTAAGATCGAGAACAAGATCTAAACATTAGGTTTGGGTCAGAGGGTCAGAGAAGAAGCCTGTCTCACATTTTCAGGAAGACTGTTAGTAAGTAATAGTAAGTTTTTATTTATATACCGCCTTTTCACTGCAGATCTGAGTCTCAAAGCGGTTTACAATTGTTAATTTTGGGCATTTGTCTCTCACTCCACACAGAGATGGGAGCGGGGCCAGAACAGGAGGCGCATGCCAGAACTATTGGACATATTTTTAGTGGTAGGGGAAACCGGAGTACCCGGAGGAAACCTACGCAGACACGGGGAGAACATGCAAACTCCACTCAGAAAGGCCCTGGTCCGACCGGGATTCGAACCCAGGACCTTCTTGCTGAGAGGCGAGAGTGCTAACCACTCAGCCACCGTGCCACTGTTCCAGACTTTAGCTCCTCAGAGTCCCAGCAGGAGACCAGTCCCTGTGCTCCTCAGAGTCCCAGCAGGAGGCCAGTCCCTGTGCTCCTCAGAGTCCCAGCAGGAGGCCAGTCCCTGTGCTCCTCAGAGTCCCAGCAGGAGGCCAGTCCCTGTGCTCCTCAGAGTCCCAGCAGGAGGCCAGTCCTTGTGCTCCTCAGAGTCCCAGCAGGAGACCAGTCCCTGTGTTCCTCAGAGTCCCAGCAGGAGGCCAGTCCCTGTGCTCCTCAGAGTCCCAGCAGGAGGCCAGTCCCTGTGCTCCTCAGAGTCCCAGCAGGAGGCCAGTCCTTGTGCTCCTCAGAGTCCCAGCAGGAGTCCAGTCCCTGTGCTCCTCAGAGTCCCAGCAGGAGGCCAGTCCCTGTGCTCCTCAGAGTCCCAGCAGGAGGCCAGTCCCTGTGCTCCTCAGAGTCCCAGCAGAAGGCCAGTCCCTGTGTTCCTCAGAGTCCCAGCAGGAGGCCAGTCCCTGTGCTCCTCAGAGTCCCAGCAGGAGGCCAGTCCCTGTGCTCCTCAGAGTCCCAGCAGGAGACCAGTCCCTGTGCTCCTCAGAGTCCCTGCAGGAGGCCAGTCCCTGTGCTCCTCAGAGTCCCAGCAGGAGACCAGTCCCTGTGCTCCTCAGAGTCCCAGCAGGAGGCCAGTCCCTGTGCTCCTCAGAGTCCCAGCAGGAGGCCAGTCCCTGTGCTCCTCAGAGTCCCAGCAGGAGGCCAGTCCTTGTGCTCCTCAGAGTCCCAGCAGGAGACCAGTCCCTGTGCTCCTCAGAGTCCCAGCAGGAGGCCAGTCCCTGTGCTCCTCAGAGTCTCAGCAGGAGGCCAGTCCCTGTGCTCCTCAGAGTCCCAGCAGAAGGCCAGTCCC